GTTCATTCGGTTTAGGGTGTGGAGCTCTCTGTCTCCCCTCACCCCCCCTTACAACCAAAGCGAATGTTCATCCTTTTCTCCTTCCCACACTTCACAGCGCCTTGGCCACAGCTTCGAAAAGCTTAATGCATCCGGCCTTCTCGCACATGTGAAACTTCTCGGATTCAGGGTTCGGTGGTTCCTGGGTAAACTTGAAATCCTTAGAATATCTGTACTCAAAGCCACAACCAGTGGTGAATGCATCCTTCACAGCATGGAGCGTTTTGCTGTGGGTATTCAAAAGGAATTTCGGCAAAAACTTTCTCGATAGCTCTTCCGTCCACTTCTCATTCATAGCTAGGGACTTTGTCCTCAATTCCTCAAGGATCTTGTCAATCTCCTGCTTGGTCTGGTTGGCTTCTTGTAGCACCTGGGTGCTTTGGGTCTCCAGGGCGTTCTCAATTGCCCTCACCATCTTCGTCGCCTTCGGGTGCCCATCCGGCATCTCCAATGCCTTGGCTGAGTGGGTCAAGATCTCCCCGATGGACAGAGAGGCCGCCAGCCATTGCTCCGAACCTTCCAGGGGGACTTCTCGCAGGTACTTCAAGACTGCATCGCTGCCCCAGCGACAAAAGAGCTGAATCTTGTAGAATTCTACCCCCTTCCTGGCCATGAATTGAGCTCCCATCGGCCGGAGCATGTGACCCGTGATCTCTTGAGCCTCCTCTTCCGAAAGCCCTAGGGCCACGGCCACCCTTCTAAAGGCTTTCACCATTCCTTGTTTCGTGGGAGTCTTCTTGGGCTGGTTGGTCACGATCAAGGGGTCCTCCTCCATGTGTCCGTTCTCCATCGCTGACTGAAGAAACCTCTTTGCCGCCGCCACCGGGCACAAGTTCGGGTGTGCCTCACAGATGCACCCTTGCTTTCTCAGCACCCCTTCACCTTTTGAATCTGTCTTCGAGGCTGGAAGGAAGACTGACACGACACCACAACCTCTGCTCGATTCGTCAATCTGGACATGCTTCACCTTCCTGAGTGCTGCCTCCATTTCACGACAGGCGAAGAGCGAGAAGAGGATGACTGTGTCCACCGTCCTGGCTGGGCCTCCGTCCACGGCTTCAATCTCCCTAACGTGCTCCAACTTCCTCAGATCCAGAGCCGGGCATTGCTTGTCAGCCCCAATGCCCCTTACGCACGATCTGATGGCGTCTCTCACCGCCAAGTTGAGGTCGTCTCCCCAAGGAAAGCTCTTCAAGATGTATTCCCTTTTCAGAGCGGCAAAGTATTGGGCTGCTGACCTGTACTGCCCTGCTTTCAACAGAGCCCCTGCCATGTCAATCGTGGTGACTGTGAGGGGGAACGGATCCACGTCCAGGCTAGCCGCCCGGTGGGCCCACCATTGGACTCGTGCACCATGTGAAGCCTGATTTGACGCTGCAAACTTATCATTCTGAAACTCCTCCATTGCCTTTCTGAACTCCTCTGGGTCCTCCGCCACCTCCTGTGCTCGAGCCCGGTTCCCTGTGGCGTAGGGCTTGACCAGTGGTTCTGTCCTTCGAAAGGGTGTTCCCGGCGCCGGTGTGGATGGCGCAGGATGAGCAACTAAAGACTTCTGGCTCGCTGAGGGGTCCTGGTCCCATGCGGCCCAGGCATCTTTCTTCCCTTCAGGTTCGTCCTCCTTTCCGGGCTTGACCCTGGGGAGACCCGCCCTCATCAGGGCTTCAACATTGTCTCCACTGTAAAGCTTTGGCAATTTCCTTTGTGGCTCCTCAGGATCTGAATTGTCTGACTCCTCCTTCTCCTCCTCCGATTTCACCATTTGCCATGAACTCTCTGTGTCTCGCCCCGGGTCTTGTGGGACTGCCTCACTTTCTTCCGGCTCTTGTTCCACCATGTCATCCCCCCCCAGTACACGGGTGGGAGGGAGTTTGGGGCAAATGTGCTCCGTGTGGCAACCATCATGGTATGGTCCTTCGTCACAATGTGGACAGCTGACAGCTGATAGAACCTCCACGTGTGCGGCACACACGAGGCACGTGAGTTGATGCCCTAAGGAACCAGACCGTCGAGGTTTATCCGTCTTCACCCATGGTGGCGGGTGATCAGGCTCCTTGGGGCGCATTTGTAGCCCCGGCCACTTGGCCTCTGCCTCCGACCGCAGGAGGACCGGAGTGAGCCTTTTCATGAGAAACGGCTGCGGAAACAACCCATGCGATCAACGAAACCGTCTCTTGCAAGTGCTTGCATGACGCTCTCTCTTGCATGAAGCACAAAACAAAGCACACAGCGAAACACCCTCTCTCTTGCATGAAGCACAAACCAAAGCAAACAGCGAAAACCCGTCCGTCAGTGAATGCTCTCTCTATCTGACTGTCGCTGACTCCCAGGTGTCTCCCTGGCGCACTGTCGATGCCTGACTCGGCGATGTTGTGGCCTCGCACGCGGGCACGATCATGACTCGCTGATCACATGATACGCGAGCTACGGTCACTCGACAGGCACCTTATACCCTCCCGTCTACCTTTCTTTCTCGGCCGACCCCTCTTCCCCTCCCAGTGTGAGGACCCCTGTCCTCCCTCACTGCTTTTCTCACATTTCGTGCCACAGCTCTGGTGATTTCTCCACCTTAGGCAAGTGAGCTAGTTCCTCGGGAAGTAGGCCACGGGACAAGGCGTCTGCCCAACCGTTTTGCTCGCTCCATAGGTGCAACGCCTCTAGAGAGGCGAAATGGACAGCGAGATGTAGTGCCACTTCTTTTGTCACTGCGTTCAGAAGAGGGGCTTTGGCTGCTCGTTTCACGAGCGATCCTGATGAAGCCCTGCTCGCCTGGTTGCACCCAGGCCCAAAGGCATCTGAGCATCATGTAGGCCTCCCACAGTGCTTGGGACCCCGGACTTCCAATCATGGCGCCCGTCTTCTTTTCGTCCATCTCAGTCCAATGAAGTGTAAACACCTCGACTGGTTTGTCAGCCCGGAGTCTAACAGCACCGCCTCCCCATGGTGACGCATCCACCAAGAAGTCTAATCGGCAGTGGTGCCTGCTATGTGCACAAATTGTGCGTTCTAATCCCTCGGAACCACAACTCCAAAGGAACTTGTGAATCCACTTCAAGGCTGGTTCTATCTGTCTGTAGTATATCTGACCTTGGCCCTGCAACTTTGCCGGACTAGTAGCCATGGCTGCATAAAGCATTCGTACAAAGGGTTTCAATTGCGGTATGAACCCTGCTGCCCAGGACATCTTGCCAGTGAACTGCTGGAGGGCCTTCCTCCCCACTGTCGGCTGGGTATTTAGCCGTTGCAGGAGCACTCTCCATTCGTCCACCTTTGATGAAGTCACTGACACTCGCACAAATCCTGCTTGGTCGTCGACTGTCAGCTTTGCGCCAATCCACTCAGCATCTGTGCCAACAGCTCCTTTCGTCCAAGCAACTTTCAAACCCAGGGTGAGCCACCACAACAAGATCACATTGAAAATGCTGTTCAACTGCTCCACTGTGCCCCTGGCCACTATCAATGGATCGTCCACGAAAATTTGTAGTCGGCATCTGCTGATGTGAAATAACGATTGGGTGGACCTTGCTATCAATGCTGCCATCCTCCCCCAGACCAGGGGCCCGGTCTTTATACCGAACAAGACAGTTTTGTACACGAAGAATCCGCCCAGTGCTCTGCCTGAGAGGTATCTGTATTCGTTCTCTCTCACTGCCAAGTGCTTGAAAGCATCTGAAAAGTCTAGGCTCATGTACAGCACACGCTCGTTGGGTGTCTTTGTCTCCAGGAGTTGCAGCGTGTCCTCCAAAGCGTCTTTCAATCTGGGTAACACCAGCCTCTCTTTCAAGGTGATGTGTTCATTCACTTGACTTCGTCTAAGGTCATGCACCAGCCGGCCTTTGACCGTTCCATCCAGCTTGACCTTGGAGATGTATCCGATGGCTGAAGGCACCAATGCGCCAAACTTCTTCTCAAGCTCTGTTCGGTCCATAGACCAGTATACAAAGCCCTTGTCGACCTCCTTCTGAAACAATGCATCTGCAGCTTCAAGCTCTTCCTCATAGGACTTGTAGTTGCTCAACGCACCATCCAGTTCTGCCAGCGAGTCTAGTCGATCTCCTTCCTGCCAAGTGAGGTCTTCGTCTAACTTCGGGAAGATGCCCCCTTCCGGAATTTCGTTGACTATGCCAACAGGTGTGCCTTTCCTCGGCCAGCTCGCTGCCTCGCTGTCCGGATCTTCACTCAGGAGCACCAACTTCTCGAGTAGTGATCCCCAGAGCCCATGCTCATGGGGCTCACAGCCCAAGATGTGGCCCACCTTCTGTCTCAGCCAGGCCAACTCCCGGTCGGGTTGTACCTCATGCGCCTCTCCAACCCAGGCCACCGGGTTTCTGAGTTCGCTCAACTGTCCAAGACTGGCCTGAAGGATCCTCCAAACCATGCTGCCCACCTCTCGCCACTTTGGCAACAGCTGCATTGAATGCCACGGATTTCTCAGACCACCGATGCAGGACTCATTCTCCTGTTCGATCCTTGCCCTCCTCGAAAATGGGTCCTTGACTCTGGCGTCTTCTTCTATCCTCAACTCCCAGCTGTCAGGCCTCCTCTGTGTCACCTTCAGCTCACGGACGTAGGCCTTCGCCAGCTCGATGCAAAGCCCCTGAGGATATTCTGCTGCCAAAGACGTCTTGAAAACTTTGTTGCCATAGAAGTCAACTGTGAATCCAATTAAAGGTTCATGGACATGTGTCGGCTTTCCAGGGCACCTTTTCTCGACGATCCTCATGAATGGCGCATTGCTCAACCATCCAGTGGGCTTGACAAACTCGCCCATATAGGCGCACTGATCTCCTTTGAACAGTTTGACCCCTTCCAGTTGCAGCAAACGCTTGACCGGCCCATAGAGCCAAATGTAAGAGTTCTCCGGATTCTCCAACGAAAACCAACCTCCGACCTTCCACTGTAGCAGGGATAGCTGTGCGGCCCTTGACGCCAAGACATTGGCCTCCTTCACCCGCCAGGTCTTTGGTTCCAGGCCCTCTGGGCGTTGCGCTGACCTCAACTGTCTAGCCTTGGCATATTGGTCCCTCCTCCGTGCCCGGGAAAAGGTCTTGCAAGGTGGTGCCGTGTGAAGCCAGCGTACCTTCTTCTGCTTAATCGCTGATTTGAGTTGTTTGAACGTGGTATTGCACAAAAGATCTGTACCTGTTGCAATGCGTCCACCAACCCGAATCTCGCCAGGCTCAAAGACTGACATCTCTTCTCTCCTGACAGCCTGGGTGAGTCCAGCCTCACCGGCAAAGAGTTCCATGAAGCATTGATCCTGTGAAACCAAATTCTCAACATCCATCTCCTCTGGAGGTGAAATCTTTGCACGCTTGCTTGCAACAAATTCTGTGTTCTTTGCCCTCTGTTTCAGCCGCTCCCGCAGTTGAGTTAACCTCGTTTCGATGCCAGCCTCCTCTGCGCTCGGAGCCGCCGAAGGGCTAGGGAGTCACATGTGCTTTGGGCGCTTGGAGGGTGGACCCCCCCCTCGCCCCTTGCCTTTGCCCTTGTTCTCCTTCTTCTTCTCGGGTGTCCAACCTGGACTGTGCGGGCAATCGATGGTCTTGTGCGGGGCCCTGCACCACTCGCAGATGTGTGCGAATCCCTTGTCACAACGATCATTGGAGCAGCCATCATTTGCTCGTGCCCATGCGTAGCAGATGTTGATGCCCGCCTTGCTCTTAAAGAACCTGCCATCCTTTCTCTGTGGGTCGAATCCTCCGCCTGTCTTCTTCTTCGGCTGTGGTTTCATCCAGGCCTGATCGTCTGAGGTCGTTGCTCCAGGCCCAGGTGGCCTTGCTGGAACTGACTTTGCGGAGTTCATCACATAGAGCATTGCAGGTTTCTCGAATTCCCGCGACCAGAATTCTGAATGGGATGCACTTGCGCTGATCACCGAATTCCAGGGCTGCTCCGGGATGAAGGCGGACAACGGTGGGTGTGTGGCATGAAAGGCTTCCTGCTTCCTCTTCTCTTGTGACCAGAACTCTGTTCGACATCGAATATCTGCTTGGGCTGCTAGGTGCCAAACATCTGGGTGCTGTAATACCCGTGTCCTGAACTCAGCTGCATACCTGTCCAGCGTCGCCGCCGTGGCCAGTTGCAGCATGAGGGCGGCTGTTCTGAAGATCCTCCATGCCTCCTCCCAAGCATCCAAATTTGCAGCTCCAGGCAACTCAATCGCCTTCCATTGACCATCTCGCCACTGTTGTGACACGAAGCGCATTGCTCTTGCAATCCTGTCTCCGTGTGCGCCCCAAACTCCCATGTCAACAAATGGTGGCTGTCCCGACTGGATTTTATGGTACAAACAACTCAGCTGAGCGTCAGTAACCTCTTCTTTCTCCAAGGGGTTGTCACCCTCCGCCACCACAAACTGAGATCTCAACTTCTGTAAGGTGGTGGCAGGCAACATCTCCACCTCATGGTCAACACCTTGGTCGATGATCTGGCTCATCTTGAGCTTCAACTTCGTCCCACCATGCCCTGCCGCCGATCCTCCGCTGGCAGGGACTTCCGGTGTGTGGGATGAAGTCATGGCAAACAAGGATGGGGCTCCGAACTTGACTCGTACAGCGCTCATCACTAAACGCCATTGTGCTTTCTCTGTTTCGTGAAGGCTTCTCCCCCCACGGGTGGCACTTCTCAATGCCGATTCAAAAACATCTGTGGGAATCACGGCTAAGATCGGCAACGACTGCAAACCCGGATCTCCAAGTTGTCTCGTGACCGCGCGGGCCAAGCCTGCTTCAAGTCCGCCCCACACTGCTGCATCTGCAAGACTGTTCCACGTGTCAATGGTGGAACGATCTGGCAGTAAGCCTTCCGTGATTGCTTCGACCCTCAACCCCCCCTATCTTTGCAGGGGGGTTTCCCGGATCCCTTGGCCTTGAGCCAAAATGGATCCGATCAAACACTGGACCCACCCAAGCCACCCTGGGAACTCACAACCACTTGATGTTATTATGGCCATACTGGCCTACACAGCAAAACAAACACGATGATTTCATCCAGTAAACACTAAGATCTGATTCCATGTTCAGGAGAAAAGGTAGAGGTTTACAAGTGGATTTCTCCAATACAGCGGAAATCGTCAGCCACCACCTCCCGCTCTAGAGTTTGTCTACACCGGCCTATGAATGTCCTTTAGCAATGAACTCTAAACTAACAAAAAGGACAACTCCATCCCACAGGATGAAGCTCGGTGAAGCTCTTCAGCCCAAGAGGCGGCGACCTCCAACGCTTTCTGCACCACGCGGGTCCCGGCGGCTGAGCAGCTCATCGCCCAGGCCCTCAAACCCAGCAACTCTAAGGCCTTCCGAGATGCCCGCCCCATGCACGTCGACGGCCGCGGGAAAACACCACTCCACCCACCATTTGGCAACGCAGCGCGTAGTAAGGAAACCCTTCCAAAGATCAACTGCACCCCCCCTTTACACCCCGTACCTCGACCCCACGGTTTCACCACGCTGCTGGGTCTTTTTCGGTGCTGGTGACGGTGAAGCGACGGGACCTTCAGCGCCTCGGCACGTGTGGAAGCTTCCTCCAGCTGGGCAATCAGCAGCGCTTGGGCCTCTTTGTCCCAAATCTCCTCCCACCGGCAGTGGATCAGTGGAACTTCGGAGGTGAAAAGGTGGTCCAACTCTTTCCAGGAACCATGGAGGATGGGAGATCGTTGACTTGATAGGAATGGGTCAACCCAGCCTCCTAGGGCACACATCCCCAAAAGGCATTGCTCTCCTCCGGCTGCAGATCGACCTGCGGATAGCTTTGCTCAGCAGTGGTCACATTTGGCATCGTGATCTGCCACGCTCCTGCCAAAGACAATATCTTCCGCAATAATGATTCCTGTGATGCCATGGTACATCGGTTTTTGGAAACTGAAATACCGGCTGCCGGAAGAAGATTGAATAAAAAACTAGACGACGGGTGGCCCGAGAGCGAGAAAAAGAAAAAATGTAGATGTTAAGCTTGTAGATGTAGAACATGAATTTGAGTTTCTGATGATTTAGGATGTAGAAGTGGTGAAGAAGATCCAAGAAGAAGTGAGAAGAAAGGAGAAGAGAAAGTAGATATGAAGTGAGATCTGTGAGAAGATGTGATGACAGGAACAAGTGGCGTAGAGGAGGTGAGCAAATGTAGCAGAGGTTTTGAATTTTGGATAAAGGTGTTGAACAAGACGCAACCAGATGTGAGAAGATATGAGAAAAGAGAAGATGTTGCAAGTGAGATGACAGTGAGAAAACGCAATTGTAAGTTATGAAGTTAGACATAATACGCTGAAGTGCCGAGAAGAAAAGACTTGTCAACTCTAGCGTATTGACTGTCAAGACTTTACAGCTGATTACATCCCAAGCTCTTGTGTCGCTGTATTTCTCCCGGGGTAGTTGACTCGCCCCACCGACAGGGATCAACTAGCTCACCTGCGTGCAGGTGCCCAGGCTTGCAGTAGAGGTCCACAGTCTCGAATATCCGGTGTCTTGTCCAGCTCGCGCATCGCCTGGTGAAGGGCGGATAGAACAGGTCTAAGCAACAGTTGACATCTTGATCATCTTGACGGACTGTTGCAAATTCAAAAGCAAAAGACTATCCATGTTTTGGATGATGATTAAACAAAAAAAA